GGGGGGGGGGGCCTGGATAAGGGAAGAACCGAGGAATCAATCTGACCTAACTTTCCTATGTCTCACTCACCACAGTGAGTCTTACCATCATGGATATCCAGAAGACATTCATAAAAAAAAAAAAAAAATCTAAAAGTAAATAACAGAAAGATGGAGAGAGAAGGGAAAGGGAAATACTGGGAACCAAATTTGAACAAATCATAGTCTGCTTTTTTAATTATGGAAAACTGAATCCTGATGTCATGAATAACTAAAAAGAAAAATTTAAAAACTTATTGAACAGAGCTGATACATGGGTTAAAATCGGGGATTCTGGAGCTAGACAGCGGGGTTCAATTCCCAGTTCTGTCACYACTAGTCTGGTGACCACTGGCAAGTCCCCTGGCTTCTGTTGGGCCTGTTTTCTCATCTGTAAAATGGGAACAGAGCAGTGCCTACTTCATGGGATTGCTACGCGGGCCCGCAGTGAGAGACTGTCCCTAAAGACTGTCTGGTGTTTGGGGTTAGAACGCTGATTTTTGGCGGTTGGAGTCTGTTTTTTTCCTGGGGAAAGAGGATGACCATGACCCGCCTTAAAGGTGATGGAAAAGTTTAAAGGAGATAACGCAAGGAGGTCTCCTGCCCGCATGCTGGACCGAAATAACTGCGGTTGCTCAGTGCCAGGCGCCTTCTGCAGAATTAGGGACATTGCAAGGTGCGGATCGCGAGGGACAGAGCCCGGATTCCCGCCGCCGGCTCCCGGCCGCGTCTGCGGTGTCCCAGGGGCTGAGTCGTCCCCCTGCCGCCCGCAGCCTGCGGGAAGGGGTGGGTTTGGAGAGGAAGGCACCGGGGATTGGACCGCGGCCGGCAGAGGAGCGCCAGCCCGAGGGGAGGGGCCGGCGAGTAAAAAGGGAGCGGGAGGCCGAGAGCCGCACGGCGGGCTCCGGAGTAGGACTCGGGGGACAGTYGGGCCACTAGGGCGGGCTGGATGGCGGGGACCTGTGAGCGAGATGGGGGCTGGCGAGGAGGGGGCTGAGGGTGGGGACCTGGGGACACATGGGGGTGCGAAGGGCGGGCGGGAGGCTCCGAGGGCTTGGGGCTGTTCGGACGCGCGCCCGGCCAGGGCGGGGCCGGCGGAGGTGGCGCGCCGCGGAGGCTGCCGGTCCCTGACGCCCTGACCCTTTCTCGCCCGCAGCCGCAGCTGGCTCCGGCCGGGGGACCATGGGCGCCTCCGCCTCCAGGGGCCAGGCCACCCGGGTCCCCGGGCCGAAGCTGGACCCCGAGGAGGCGCTGGACCTGAGCCAACTGCCACCCGAGCTGCTCCTGGTGGTGCTGAGCCACGTGCCCCCGCGCACGCTCCTCACCCGCTGCCGCCGGGTGTGCCGGGAGTGGCGCGCCCTGGTGGACGGCCAGGCCCTGTGGCTCCTGATCCTGGCCCGGGACCATGGCGCCGCTGGCCGCGCCCTGACGTCGTTCGTCCGCCACTGCCTGCCCCCCGCTTGTGACGCCAGGCCTTGTCCTCTGGGCCGCTTCTGCGTGCGCAGACCCTTGGGACGCAACCTCATCTGCAACCCCTGCGGCCAGGGTGGGAGCGCCGGCCGCGAGCTGGAGGGGCGGGGTCCGCTGGGGGCGGGGCCTGCAGGGAGGGGGTGGGAAGGGGCGAGGTCCGCCTGGGCCTGGGGGCGGGGCCTGCAGGGAGCTGGTGGGAAGGGGCGAGGTCCGCTGAGCTGTGGGCCGGGCTGGGGCGAGGCAGTGCTGTCTCCCGTGGGAAAGTGCTTGGACCCAGGCTTCAGGGGTTTGGGAGGCTTTGTTTGTTTGTTTGTTTGTCTTTCCGGTTCTGGGGATTCCATCTTCACTAAACTGCATCCCCTGCCCTTTTAATTTTTTTTAATTTGGGACGGTCGTTAAATTGCCCAGGTTGGTCTCAAACTTGCAGTCCTCCTGTGTCAGCCTCCAGTACCATCCTTTTATTTAACAGAAGGCCTCCGGAAATGGATGGTGCAGCACGGTGGAGATGGCTGGGTGGTAGAAGAAAACAAGAGAACTGTGCCGGGGGCCCCTTCACAAACCTGTTTCGTAACTTCCTTCCGGTGAAAGCCCCTACTCTCCAAGGATTGGGAGGTGGGGGAGGAGAAAGATCTGCTCGTTCTCATGGACCCTTCTCCCACGTTCCTAGTTGGTGCCGCAAGAAGCAGGTCTTGGACCTGGAGGAGGAGGGTCTGTGGCCAGAACTGCTGGACAGTGGCAGGATTGAGATCTGTGTCTCTGACTGGTGAGTGTGGTAACAAGCAGCCCCTGTCTAAGACTGGCGGCCTGTGGCTTGGCCTTTGATGGGCAGCTCAATGTGGGCTCCTAACAACCCCTTACAGATAAGGGAACTGCAGGTCAGGGAGGAAGAGGTGATCCTACCCTGGAGCCCTTTCCTCCTCTCCAAAGGGGTCTGGATTGGAAAACATCYCATTGGATCCAGTACTGGGCCTTGGGCCCAGCTCAGTCTTGTTGAAACAGAAGTATATGAAGGTTGGGGGCGGGTACATGACTCAGGTGATTCTAAGGAAGCCAAACCCCATAGTCTCTATGGCTGTATATCGCCGATTCTGAAATTCATCTGCTGCAGATCCTGTCTGTGGTGGAAAGATCGTGGTTGTTTTTTCCCTCTCTCTTCCTCAGTTCCCCTTCTTCAGCTTTACAAGGGGAAAAAAAAGTCCTCACTGTCGTTTGTGGTCCCCAGATGTAAAGACTCATGGGGATCCAGGCCAACTGACTTTGGAATTTGGGGTCTTAGCAATTTCACTTATAGTCAAGGCAACATAACCCCTACCTGAAACTTATCTAAGAGATACGTTTCCAATAAATTTTATTTTTTATTTAACTACTATTTGTCAAATTGTGATACCTGTCTCTTATGATCAGGTACATCATTTGACTGTAAAGAATGAAGCAGGGTGCTCACCTGTAATCCCAGCAACTCAGGAGGCTGAGGCAGGAGGATCTCAACACCAGCCTCAGCAACTTGGCAAGACCCTATCTCAAAATAGGGTTAGGATGTAACTCAGTGGTAGAGCACTCACCCCCAGTACTACAAAAATAAATAAATAAATAGATAGATAGATAAATAAGAAAGAATCAGTGGGTTCCAAATTTTTCTGCACATCACTCAGGTGGCTTTTCAAACTCCCGCATGTCCATTAAACCATGTTTCTGAGGGTGAGTGCCAGGCATCAATGTCTATGAGAATTTAAAGCCAAGAGTTAGAAGGCACTGTCCCCAAGACCACCCTCACTTCTAATACCAGCTTCACGTTTAGAGGACTCCCAAAACCACTCTCACCAATTCACTTAAAGGACCCACAGAAAACTATTATACAATTATGGTTTATTGCAAGGAAGATACAGAGTAAAATCAGTCAAAAGAAGCACATAGGGCCAGGCGAGGTGGCACAAACTTGTAATCCCAGCAACTCGGGAGGCTGAGACAGGAGGATCATGTGTTCAAAGCCAGCCTCAGCAACTTAGTGAGGTCCTAAGCCACTTGGCAAGACTCTATGTCAAAAAAAAATAAAATAAAATAAGGGCTGGGGTTGTGACTCAGCTGTAGAGTACTTGCCTAGCATGTGTGAAGCATTGGGTTCGATTCTTAGCACCACATAAAAATAAATGACAATTAAAAAAATTAAAAAGAAAAAATATGAAAGAAAAAATTAAAAATAAAATGGGCTTGGGGATGTGGCTCCGTGGTTAGGAGCCTCTGGGTTCAATCCCTGGTACCAAAAAATAAAACAGAAATTCCCTTGGTCTTTTCCCCTGCCGTTAGTACTTGTCACCCTCCCAGCACTGATGTATGACAAGACTCATGGACTCTCACCGTGAGTTTCATGGCGAAACTCAGGAGGCTTACCGAGTTTCATCTACAGAGTTTTTATTGGGGCTTCATCTGATAGGCATTATCGATTCACTGCCTGACTGTGTGGTTAATCTCAGCCTTCAGATCAATTGACATTGACTCAAAGCTACCAAAGCCTCATTGTTGGTCTTTCTGGAGTGACCAGCTCCCACTCTGGAGTGACCTGTAGCTATATAGGCATGACCCGCCCCTGCCCTATGACACTAGTATCCTCAAGTCTCCATCAAACAAAGACACCTCTCAGACACAGCGTTCCAGGGGTCCAGAGGTCGCTCAGAAGAACATTGAGGAGCTGGATTTGTATATTTGGGGAAGGCCTTCAGGTAGCAGGCAGACACCCAGAGAGATGGAGGGGCTGGTCCAGCCTTCAAGGGCTCTCTCCTTCCACAGGTGGGGAGCCAGACACGACTGTGGCTGTAAGTATCGACTCCTTGTCCAACTTCTAGACGCTGACCAGACCATTCTAGATACCTTCTCTGCTGTGCCTGACCCCATTGAGCAGTGGAACAACAATATCTGTTTTCAGGTGAGTCTGACGGGATAGGGAAAGGATGGTGGGGTCCATACTGGTTACTTATTGCTATGTAACAAATCACCCCAAAACTTAGTGACTTAAAATCAACAGCAGTCCTTTTGTTGCCTCTCACATCTCCTGAGTCAGTAGTTGGAGAAAGGCTGAGGTGGGCCGTGCTGGCTCCAGACCCTCATGCTCAGACAGTGGCCTGCAGATGAGGCCTGGAGCTGAAGGACAGGGTGACAGGTGATGTGTGTGGGTGGCAACTGGTRACTGGCCAAGAATCTCTTTTTTCATTGATTCCCGGAGCTTCCCTGGCGTCTCTGGGCTTGGACTGCTTTGGGCTTCCTCACAGTATGGCGGCCTCAGGGCAGTCAGGCTGCTTCCATGGTGGCTCAGGGGTGAGGTTCAAGAAAAGTGAGTCTGTCACCTTTTCTGACTTAGCCTGGGAAGTCACTTGGCCAAATCTACTCAGCATCACTTCTACCAAATTCTTGGTTCTAAGCAAACCCACCCAAATCCCAGGAGAAGGGGATTGGATTCCACCAATTAATGAAGGAGTAGCGAGATTCTAGAAGAACTTGTAGGAGGGTAGATAATGTTGCTGCCATCTTTGGAAAATACCACCTTCCCGAAGGTTCTGCCTCCCATCTCAGCCATCACATAACAGTACCAACCCCTTCCTCTGTCTACAGGTCACCCATGTGTTCTCCAACATCAAGACAGGCGTCCGTTTTGTGGCTTTCGAACACTGGGGGCAGGACACGCAGTTCTGGGCTGGCCACTATGGAGCCCGTGTGACCAACTCCAGCGTGATCCTGCGGGTCTCTCAGTCCTAGA